ACTTCATTTTGAAAAACTAGATCTACATTTTGAGAAATTTACGCCTACGTTTTAATAAATTAGACATTGAATTTTGCAATTACATTTTGATTTTAACATGGACTTTTGCTGCGTATGGCACCCCATAGTCGCGGAGCAAACACAACCAAAACAAATCAAGGTAAAAAATGAACTACAGCAGACCAACACGATTTAAGACCACATCATTTAACTTCTTTTCGTACTTTTACACCAAAGGGTTTACTGGGGGCGAAGCTTTTACTTAATTTTCACCAGTGATTTCACCTATGATTTTATACATACGATAACGAATGAAAACATATTAGGCTATATGTAAGAGATAAAATATTTATCTACCATTTGATTACAAAAAAATATGAACAACGTTATAAAAATACAAGTTATAACTATTAAAAAGATGCCGGATAGGATAGTTTTGAGAAATCAAGCAAAACATGTTTTTGCATCAGCCGTTCTACTGTAAATGATAAAGTGTTTTTAGAAGCTTTCATGTGATTATGATATATAATTAGAAGGCCATTCTAGGTATAATAATAAAAAAAAATCTAAAAAGCAGTATTTTAGCTCAAAATGTCCCATACTTCCCTCTGCCGTGGTATTACATACCTAACATGTTGGAAAAACGCCATATCAAAAGAAAGCAAATTCATATTTATACTATATAGACATATAAATTGTAAATTAATGATAACAGTATTCTCTACATAAAATATTACTCAACTAAAATATATATTTTTTTTAAATCAAGAAATATAAATAAATATAAATAAAAGTAGGCTACTTTATATAAAGATAGCCTAAAAGAATAAAATTTCAAAATTCCAAAATGCATAAATGATATTGCATCCCTGATTAAACTAATATCTAAATATTAAATAATATTTTGAGTGATTGGAACAAAATATGATTAACTATTAGATTGTAAGCTACCAGTAAGTGTTTGTAGGGCTTGCCTCTTTCATTGTTATTTTCCAATATATAAATTAATGCAAGCTTATATACACCCTCGTGTTGATTTATTCAAGATTTATTAAAATTAGCTTTCAGAGACACTAAATATTCTTCATACGTTTTTAAAGAACACATTTACATTGGAATAAATAATTTTGTTATTTTCTTTCTTTTAATATGCACCTTGCTGGAACATTACATTCAAGGCGTGTTAGGATTAGATCTAAATAAGCATTTTCAGGAAATAAAAAAAAAAAATTTCTAGCCAAGCGGTATTTTAGTTGAAGCGAGTAACACCTGGTAACAAATTAAGATAACTTTGATGGCGTAAACTAATAGAAAAAAATATGAAGCAGTGTATTCCTGTCTGACAAAATGAATTGAATCATTGAATCGCTGATTCTCAGAAAACAATTCTAGGAATATTTCGAATGCGTCTGCGTTCTTCATATACTTTCGAAAAGGAATGTATATTTGTGATTTTTATATTCTTGAAAAGTCAATAAATACCTAATCCTTAGCCTGTGTTAATCAATAGGCCTATGTATCGCATAATAAATACAATTGCCTTTATGTACTTTACATGAACAAAAAGAAAAATAACCATGAAATATCCTAACGTTACAAGGAAAAACTGGCATATATTACGTTAACTTTATAAATTAAAAAGGCAGGAAAATTTGGAATGATGAATCTAAAAACTGTATTTTACTGATTCATTCAGCTGTGGTTAAATCAATGACTTAAAACAAGACCTTCCCTTCACACAGTCAGAATACTGCATTCTGATTGGCTAGTCATACACACATGACACAGCTTGCCCCATGCTTCCTTTTGCTGTGGCTGTGGCTTTATTGTCAAAAAGTGGACATACTTCTTATTTATGATATTAATATCTCAATAAATATAAGGTTTCTGAAATAGATTTTTAGTTTGAAATGTGCAGAATGGTACCCGGAATCATGTACAACCAATAACTCATTTTTGAAAAATTTGTTTCATACTTCCCTTTGCCTTGGTAGGGCAGACTTTGAAGATTAATCTACTTTAAGGATATACTATCAGCCAAAAATTGAGAAAATAACCTCAAAAATTAAATTCAAATTTTGAATACGCCATTTTATAGAGTTAAAAAAGTTATTAACTTTCACCAGGAAATCAAAGCAATTAAAAATATATTTGCCGACTTTCGTGCATTTGAAAAAAAAAAATCCTTAAATTGATTACCAGCCAAATTAAGGGTTTACGCATGCGCAAAGTTTTATATGAATAATTCATTAGGTATTTTCCAGTGAATTTTTTATCGCGTTACAGCTGATTTTTTGAAACGCGGCTAGCTGTCTGTTGTTGAGAGTAGCTGCTGTGTGACTGCGACAATTCAAGGACAAGAGTGCACAAGATCGTGTTGCCTGCTTGACCTACTGTAGGGACAGAGTAAAAAGAAGTAAAATTATGCACCACGTGAAACAATTCAATATAAAAGATGGATAATGATCAAGAAGGCAAAACAACTAAAAATAATGGTGAGGTCGTCAAGTTTTTGCTAGCCTACTAGGCTAGGCCGACTGAACCGACCTAGGCCTAGCTAGCTAGGTTAGGGAGTTAGGCCTAGGCTAGGCATACAACGATTACTAATCTAAACGGTGAGTTATGTCCAAGATATCTACTAGCTAGTATCTTAGTAGTTATGTTATGTGCTAGGCCTAGCCTAGATATAATATATTAATATTTTATTATCTGGTGGGCCGCCTGTGTATGTATGTAGTCTTGGGTTACTAACCAGCCATGCCATAGGCATAAGGGCACATAAAAAAAATGTCATTTATTAGACATCAATTTTTTCTTTTTCTTTTTAAATTGATGAGGGAGAGTGGTTTTTTTTTAAAAAATTTATCGGAACAATAAATTACTATTTTTATTTAAATTATGTTGTTCTGTGAGTATCCCACGTGAAAAGATATTTTTATCTGCCATTAAAGATCCTAGTTAATCGTTTTTCATATTATGAATTTATTTACATATATTCTTGTTATAATAATGATTTACTATAAATATTGTTTAACATTTACGGAAATAAATGTTGTTTAATGAATGAATAATTATTCAAATCCACTTGCACTTGACAACAACTAGGCATCAGTTATTATTTTTAATGGTGTCTACCACATATTTCTACTTCAATTATATACAGATACTAAATAAAAGCTGCATTGTACAAGTATATTTATTCAGTAGTACTATCAAGATTGTTTTGAAAGCTTAATGCAGTCACTATAACAATATTCGAATTTCACAAATTTCGACTTCAGCAGTTTACACGCCTTTCCAGTTGTTTGTTGTTTATAAATAATCGGCCAAAAAAGATGAAATTTCTTTATGTGAACCTTTATAAATAATGTCAATGTTTCAAAATAATTAAAAACTTAACATTATGGGAATGGTTTGGAGATTAAAAATAGGTGCGGCTTATACACAGGTGACACAAAAATTGTGATATTCGCGTCCTAATTTGGGGGGGGGGGCGGCTTATACACAGGTGCGGCTTATACACCGGAATATACGGTATGCACTGCAATTACTCTGTTAACAATTTTTCAAAAACAGTATATCACCATAGTCCACACTGTTAAAGTAAAATAAATATATTTTAATGTTTGCACCAGCGTAAACATAATAATAGTACAAAAATTTTCTTACCCGAAGGTGTAAAATCGATTACCGGAAATTGCCCACCTTAAAAAGATAAAACACATAATCGTATTGTAGAATAGACATACATCATCATTTGAAGTACAGTAATTCTGAATCTAGGACGGGTTGAGGTCTTGGAAATAGCCAATGCCAACAGACAATATTTAATGAATAAATGACAGACTGAAATAAGACAGCATAGGGGAGATGTAGGAGCACTGTTCGTTTTACCCACACATTATCATTTCATTTATTTCACCACAATCAATTTAAAAACATACAAAAGACAAAGACAGTACCCTTGTCGGTGGCAAGTTGAATGAAAAACAAACTAAGTAGTTGCGAACTGTTTTTTTTCTTTCGACAAGGGTATACAGCTGTCTCTTATACACCCCCCCCTGCCTGTTAGGCCACTGTTCAAACTTAAATTCAGTTCTTTTTATTACCAGAATAGCAGTTAAGGTAAAGGAACTACAATTTTTACCTTTCAATATCAGTAATAACTCTTCTTTCTGTAAACATCTATGTTCTGTTTCATACTTCCTACACTCACTTTCTTCATACAAGTCAATTACAGTTTTGCCATCCTTTAAAATACATAAATTTATATAAATATCATTTACTTTGATTTCCAAACTGCAACCTGTAAGCCTTTCTTGCTTAACCATAGCCCCACTATGTGTGAGCATTTCAGTCATTTGTATAAAAGTAAGTCAGTCACTGAGAAGTTGCAATTTTGTCACCAAAATAGTACAGCATACCAATATTTCTATTTTAATATTTTTTTAATTATATAACTTCCAGAAAAAGAAAGAAAAAAATTATACCATAACAAAATTTATAGCAGGAATACCACAGACGGCAAAATTACTAAAAATACTCAGACAATAATTATGTTACTTCTGTACATAGTATAATAAACATAATTTGTTTCATTATGCAAACCCAGGTAAAAATTCCCATTGAGACCTGTTGAAAAAACCCAGTTAAAAACCCATTGGAAAAATCCAACACGTGTTTTCGCACCCTCTGAACGGGTCCAACAGGGTTTTAATAGGTCCGACTGGTTTTCCAACGGTGTTTCAACGGGTGTAACTGGTTTTCAATCCCAACTGGTTCAACGGGTTACAGGTTCCCAATGGGTGATCAATGGGTTTTCTAATGGGTTTTTAATGAGTTTCCTAATGGGTTTTCTAATAGGTTTCCAACTGGTTTTCAATGGGTTTTCTAATGGGTTTTCAATGGGTTTTCTACTATGGGTGTCCAACTGGTTTTCAATGGGTTTCAATTCCAACTGGTTCAACTAGTATTCCAAAGGTTATGAGGTCCAACTGCTTTTTCAACTGGGTTTCAATTCTAATTGGCCAACTGTTATCATTAGTAACTCTGAGTCGCTGCAATATCTATTTACTTACTCTATCACCAAATGAATTGAAACAACATTTTTATTATTTATTACTGTGCATTTATTATTAAATTCCACCAACAGTTACAATTATTACATACTATGACCATTTAAAAATTATGTATGATATTAATATCTAAGTAAATGTAAATTATATATTTCTTTATTCCATTCAATGCAATATTTTAAATTTAAGAAAATATATTTAAAAATCAATTATGCACATTAATACATTCTGTATTTACTCTATAGTTATAACAAGATCTATAGTGTAAGTCATATTGGACAATGAATTAATAATATAAAGAAACAATATGCAATTATTACTACTTTTACTGTACATTGTGTATAGTGAGCAAATTTATAAATACATTAAGGATTAAATTAAATGATTATAGATGATTACAATGCAATTGTATTTAATTTTTTAAAAAACCTGAATTTAGAAAATATAAATAAATCAATTATGTGCACTTTGCAGAAAACTAAAACACAAAAACAGATCAATTACTTTTTAACTTGTCAATTATCTTTTGTTAAGTGATGTACTGGGAAGTGGGAGCTTTCTACAGCTTTCTCCTTGGTATGGCTGTATGATTACAAATATTGTTGCTTTTTGAAACATTCCTGAAAAAGAAATTGAAATATCACTTATTAAAAAAAAAATATATGGTTTAACTTGATTTAAAACAATGGATTGCTAGATATAGTGTGCTTTCAGTGGCTGTGAGCTCTTATCTAATAATAAAATAATAATAATATTAGACTTAGGGCAAAAAGAAAAATTTGTTAGATTTTCACTCCCACCCGTGTTAAAAAATTGGGAAATATTGATGCGGGAATAAAAATAATTTTTTTTTTTTTGCCGCATTATTTATTTATTTATTTTTTTAATCCTCTTCATGCTCATAAGCACATAAGACAGTATTATTTATTTTAACAGCTTAAAAAAAATGATGCAATTTTGTGACAGGAAATATATTTTCTTTAAAAACAATAAAATTAAACTTGTAAATATTCTTGAAAATAAATACAGTCCCAGCTCCCTCATCAATTAAAAAAAAGCAATATTCTATTGTTCTGTTAAAAAAAACAACACCCACCGTCATCAATTTTTTTTTTTTTTAAATAGTGATAATCTAATAGTTTTTTCTATGTGCCCTTATATTAGCATATTGTTAGGCCCTCATTGGATTAATGCCTATGGCATATTGTTAGGCCCTCATTGGATTAATGCCTATGGAACACAAACTCTAGCTCCCTGGGGAAGTATTCTATAACACTGCAGGAGATGCTGTACATCAGCGCATGTTGGTACAGGGTATTTAACTCTACCAGGTACCCACTTATACTCCTGGGTAGAGAGAAGCAATGCAGATAAAATGCCTTGCCCAAGGACACAAGTTAAATACACAGCGAGGGGATTGAAACCCTGACCCTGCGCCAAACCACTTCTACTTATTGACCAAAGCCAGTGGCAATGGACCTTAAGGGCCCAGTATATTAATCAGATTTTTTTTCTGCCAGGACCATAGACCCTCCTTCAAACCATGTGTCCTAAATCAGTCATGTGTTAACACATCAAAAAAGTCAGTCACCAGAGCAAACTGAAGCTTTTACCCCATACCTCTATCTCTGCCCTGCACCAGGCCCTGGCGAAGTATGTGCTTTACATACAATTAATACTACCTGGAGCCCTATGTGCCCACACATAGGTGTGCTTTACAGTGTGTGCTTTACATTAATACTTTTAACAATATAAATTTATGTAAAAATTATAAAATTTTACTCATCATTGAGCATTAGGAATAAAGTAGTACAGTATCTATGTGCTACTGTATCAATCAATCAAACTCTACTGTAGGCCTACAACACAAAAACCCCAAATAATTATGTTTCATGTAATTGACCACAAGGCTTATCTTTAGGCTTAATGTTTACAATTCACATTTAAATTACCTTGTATTTGTATTATACCAGGGCTGATCCATCCTTCTGTAGTTGTGAGCACAGGTTTCTCTTCTTTGATAGCCAACAATGGTTGATGGAAAAAATGATTTTCACACGTATCTGTGAGATGTGCCAACACTTATCTGAAAATTCAGAGATTTGAAATATGTTACAGTAAAAAACAATTAGTTAATGAGCAACAATTGACAGGGTAACCAGAGAATTAAAACGATATCAACTACTAACCATAACTTATCATATCAACTTCTGTCCATCATTACCTGTTTTTTTTTTTTCAACTTCATTTAGGTACTTTCCACTACTCTACCATGTTCTGTTGAATTAGAAGACATAAAATGAGTGTAATACAGGTACATTGCAAATTATAAAAAGGGCAATAAATTTTTTAATTGGGAGGATAATATTGTATGCAGCATCAGAAGGTGGCTTTCTAGTCAAAACGGCAATAAACCAAAATGGCAATAAGTCAAAACAGCAACATTTTTTTACTAGAACGGCAATGGATCAAAATGGCAATAAGTGACTAAATCAAAACACCAAAATGATAATAATAATAACAATAATAATATTATTATTATTATAGTAATACTAATAGGC